CCTCCACGTCTGCGGCAGCATTAGCTTTGTCGGCAGGCCCGCTCTCCAAACGCAGCCTTTCTTTCCTTCCCGCTTTTCCTTTTCTGGCACAATGACGAGGTCGACGAGCCCCACGCATGCAAGGCCAAGGTAGCATCTCCTTTTCCGGCGCACGTACGGGCGATGGCGCATCCTCCCAGGAGGAGGCGTCGGCCCGCGCGGAGCGGCAGTCAGCGCGCCAGCCATTGGAGTCGACCGCCATGCCGTCGGCGCGTCCAGAGGTTGCGCGTCGGAGCGGCGGCGCTTGCGGCCACGGCGGCGCTGGCGTCCAGGGTCAGGGCGAGGGCCAGGACCGGGAGCATGCCCAGGGGGAGCACCGTCGTTGCCGTCTCCGCCTTGAGCCGCTTCGGGGGCGTCGCGAGCTTGAGCGCGGTCAACCTCGGAGCGCACGACGGCGATGGAGATGGGGTACGTGAGGGTGCGGACAGTCGGGGCAGAGGAGCCGGAGCCGGCCGGGATTTGCTCGACAATTTCGAGGGTGGTGGCGCGTCGGATGCCAGCGGCGTCGTGGGTACGTCCAGCTAGCCGGAAGGTGGCGAGGTCGGCACGGGAGCGTGTCTGCGGGTGGAGGCGCTCAATCCAGACGCTCTGCCCCAAGATGTGCTCGGCCGTGGCCAAGTGCCAGGCCTGGGCAGGGATGCCGCGGAGCTCAAGCTCAACGCGGTATTCGAACCCACCGCAGCCGGCATGAGCTAGCTTGCACCACGGGCGGAGCGACATGGCAAAACGCGGGCAGCTGATGAAGTGGTCACCGCGCATGCGGTCCATGGAAGCTCTGGAGCCGAATATGATGAGGAAATCCTCAGGACGGTGCGTGTGGACAGTGAAGTCGCCTTCCTGGAACTCGAATGTGCTGCAGAGCAGCTCGGAGACGTCGCCGGAGGACACCCGGGGCCTGTTGCCCGTGATAGTGGCCACCATCGCACGGGAGAGCACCCCCTCCGCCTCTTCCATCTCGACGGAGCGCGCAATGATGACCCGCGCCGGCTCGGCAACGGTCACTTGCGGCGCCGGAGCAGGGGGTGGAGGTGGTGGCGTAGGGCGGGGAGGGCTGAGGGCGGCCGGAGGAGTGCGGCCAAGACGTCGATGGTAGTCAGCGCAGCCGCGGGAGTCGTGTCCGGAGGTGAGGCAGCGCCTGCATCGGATGTCGTAGGTGCAGTCACGAACCCGATGACGGTGGTCGAGGCAGCGGAAGCAGAGTCCGGCCACCTCCTCCGGCGACGGGCTGCGTTGCCGCTGCGGGGTGGGGCTTGGCATCCGGTCGCGGCGCGGACGGCGGTGATTCCTGCGGCGCGGCTGCCGGAACCCGTCGTCGTCGACCACGGCCTCGCCCGAAACACGATGCACCTCCGAGCGGGGGCCGAGGCGGGCCGAGGCAGGCAACCGGGCGCCCGCCGGCGCGGCGGCAGGGGCAGGTAGCGCCGGGGCAGCGGCCCGAGGCGCCGGAGGCGTGCGGACGACGTCGCTGTAGGAGCGTGCGGAGGATTCCCCCTCCGAGTCGAACCAGCGCCCGTCCCCGGAGGAGACACGCTCGCCGGAGAGGGAGCAGGCGTCGGAGGCGGCCATGGGGGAGGGGATGAGGTGGGGAGGGCCACCGGCGGGGAGTTGACCGAGTTGATGTATTCTACCCATTCTACATCTCACTGGCAATCGGGAGTTGGCTTATTTGTGTAAACTATCATTCTTTGTTGGTAAATACCCAAATAACAAATTAGCATGTAATGCAGGTAATAGGTTCCGCTTCAACATTGAAGAAAGATAAACACTGGACCAACCTTGTTGAGAGTGCCAAAGAGCGAAACCGTTATTTCAAGGTGAGATAGCTAATGTCTTTCTTTTGAAGCCTGTGTAGAAAAACAACATTTGGTGAATGTAACTAACCATGATCATCTTGCAGGTGACAAAGCCATTCACTGCGTTCTTCGCCGAGGATAGTTTCAAAACCATGAAGGTGGAAAGACCTGTTCCAGACGCGAGGATATCACAGGCAGTAGAAGCCATCAATGAAGTAGTTGCAAGGCAAGAAGTGATGGACGCCGACGATGCTGGTGACAATCAAGCGGATGGAGATGATTATGACGCCATGGAGGCTGACGATGGAGGCGGTGGTGATGATTGATTGTTGCCTGCAATGTATTGCTAGAGGGGAAACTTTATCAGAGGCCAGGTACATAACATAGAAGAGCAAAAGCTTTGCAAGTTAGAAATTCTGCTATTCTTAGCAAATTTTAGGGGGGAAGAGGCTGGTGCATGCCTGCCTTGCCCGACGAATCATCTACACAGACTCCATGCATACATTATGGAACAAAAAAAGTTAACCGCAGAACTGCAGCAGCTCTGGCTTCTGCTGTGTCTATATGCTTATATATCGTATGTGTGTATGTTGTTCACTTGATTGTGTAGTACATGTGCTGGAATTTGGCGAAGAACACCAGCCGGTGCCCTCCTTGGTTACATTTCTCTCTTCGCTAGAGGCTGGCACATGTCGTGGACCTTGCTGTAGCGGCTGCCATGTTCCATCTCACAAAACTCAAATTTAAAAGGTTTGGAAAATTCCAAAAAAGGTATGTGGTTGTTCACAAGATATCTGTCAACAATCCTTGAAAATTTCAGATCCAAATTTGAAATACACATAGCCTTTGCTATTGTATGAGGCGCCTGGCATTATATTGTCCAACCCTGAAAGTGTATCTATTGCTCTGGCGGGCACCAAGAATGTGCAGCGGTGTGCTCGGTTCTGTTCAAAATGCCTGGAATAAAATAGCCTTGTACAATCAACCAGATCATGTGCAAGGTTGAAAGGGTATAGCATTTGATCAATCAGTATAGGAAAACAATCTCACACATTCTTAGGGAAATCTATTCAGACAATGCTCAGTGAAAGGTAACTGAACCATCCTTGTTTTCTGTTTCAGGAATCTAACCGATTGATGTAACCAATTAAAACTATTTTTTTTGTTTAGAAGACTATAAATTGTTGATTTTGCATTGGTTGGGGTGCGCCTAGCCTAGGCAGTAGTGCAACTCCTAGGCAACACATGAGGGCCCCAATGGCAAGCCATTGTGATGGACTCTCACCCATAAAAAATAAATTTAATATCGTTGTGGGCACATGACCCACATATCAGATATTAAACTGATAAGAACAGATACTACACTTGATCTTAGCCAAAAGGCCGAGAAAGGTATGCTTCTAGTTGTTGCCCTCCGCCTCTTCTTATAGCTTTCTCAGCTGACCGTGCTGCTCGCACGGGCGAGGTGGTACTAATCAAACAGCAGCGCATTAGATACCTGCCTCTGCACTTCCACGTTGATTTTACCATAGCAGCCCAGATGCCTCGAAGGCCCAATAGCTCAGCTTAATACCCATGGCCTAATAGGTTAGCTTAGTTCGTACCCATGGCCCAATAGCGTGGCTTCTCTGTCATATCGCACTGGGCCCAGACGGTTTTTCCACACATTTTTTTCAAAAACACTAGGATTTGTGTGGTGACGAGGTTACAAGGATGATCATCCGAGTGCTTGATGGAGCTGATTCACCGGAGGAGATAAACAACACGTTCATCATTTTAATTCCCAAGATTTCCAGTCCAAAAGTTTTAGGACAGTTTCGAGGCAGATTCTATATGACGCCCGTGTACATCCGTTTGTCGCTGCTTCAATGAAGCGAAGCGAGCGAACGAGGCGCACGGCCCGGCCCACTTCGAGCGAGACTTGGTTTTGGAAACCTTCTAGTAGGTTCCCTGAACTAGTTTTTTTTGTAGTTTTCCCTTTTTTTCCTGTTTCTTTTTTTACCATTTGTTTTCTTTTTCTGTTTTTGTATCTGTTTATTTACCTTCTGTTTCCTTTTTCTGTTTCTGTTTCTTTTCTTTCATTTTATCCTTTTTTGTTTTACTTTTATACTTTGTTTTAAGAAAATTGTTTGAATTTCAAAGTTTGTTCATGATTTCAAAAATTGTTCATGAATTTAAAATTTTGTTCACTTTTTAAAAAATGGTTCACAATTTTAAAATTGTTCAACGTATATAAAAAAATGTTCAATATGTATTTAATATTTGTTCAATAGATAAAGAAAAATTGTTCAATGTGTAGTTAAAAATAGTTCAACGTATATTACAAAAATGTTCAATGTGTATTTAAAATTTATGCATCATATATCACAAAAATTTACACTGTGCACTTAAAAGTTGTTCGGCGTATTTTGACAAAAAAAATCAATGTATGTTTTAAGCGTATATCGCAAAATGTTCAATCAAGTTTTAAAATTTTGTTCGAGAAAACGATATTCATTTCTTGAAGGAATGATTAAAAGACAAATCTACCGCTGTACATAATACCTACTATTGAGCGCTGCAGTCAAACATACAGTCAGTCCCTAGTGCACTGGCGAATAAGTCTGCTGTGTATCGATGTGTCGTGGGTTCGGCTCCCGAACGCTGCATTTTTTCGTGGCATTTCTCTTTTAGGTTCGCTTGTGGGAATGGGCCGGCCCGTTTGGCGCGAATCCTTCAGCGGAAGCTACTTGTTTTGACGCACGCGAGCATCAACTAGGAGCACTCCAGTTTCGGCCTATAAGTCTTTGTAACGTAATCTACAAGAGTGCATCGAAGGTCTTAGCTAACCGGCTGAAGCAAATTCTTCCCGATATCATCTTCGAAGAGCAGTCTGCTTTTGTCCCTGGACGCCTCATTACAGACAATTTTATCACAGCTTATGAGTGTTTGCACTACATGAAAACTAGGAGGGTGAAGGGAAACATGTTTTGTGCGCTTAAGCTATATATGATGAAGGCATATGATTGCCTAGAGTGGCCGTATCTGAAAGCGGTCATGATTAAGTTGGGCTTCAGTCCCAGATTTACGGAGACCATTATGAGGTGTGTTTCTTCGGTTTCTTTCTCTGTTTTGTTTAATGGTGGCAGTTTGGATGGTTTCAGGCCTTCACGTGGACTGCGGCAGGGGGGCCCGATCTCGCCTTATCTATTCCTGCTAGCTGCGGAGGGACTATCTTGCCTTTTGAAGTCCCATATTGGGGTTCAGGGAATTGCAGTGGCGCCGGAAGCCCCTTTGGTTAATCATCTCCTCTTTGCCGACGATAGTCTACTCTTTTTTGAGGCAAATGAGGTGTCTGCTACACGGGTTAACGGACTGCTGAGAGTCTACTGCGATGCTTCGGGTCAGAGAATAAACGTGGACAAATCATCGATCTTTTTCAGCAAGGGGGTTGCGGACTCGGCAAAGGTAGCAGTCAAGAATATCCTTGATGTACACAATGAGTCGTTAACTGAAAAGTACTTGGGATTGCCATCAGATGTGGGCAGAGCAAAGGAAGGATCTTTTAAATATTTGAAGGACAGAATCTGGAAACGTGTTCAGGGTTGGATGGAGAAGTGTCTGTCAGCGGGAGGGAAAGAGGTCCTTATCAAGTATGTAGCCCAGGCCATCCCAACATACTCGATGGCATGCTTCAAGCTACCTCAGGGTTTATGCGAGCACATCAACAGTTTGATCTATAAATTTTGGTGGGGGAGTAAAAATGGCGAGAGGAGAACAGCATGGGTGTCGTGGAAAACGATGTCAAAACCAAAATTTATGGGCGGCCTGGGTTTCCGAGACATAGAGTTGTTCAACCTGGCTCTTCTTGCCTGACAAGCGTGGATGGTGATGTAGTAGCCGGAATCCCTTAGCGCTCACGTTCTGAAAGCTCGTTACTTCCAAAAGATCGATCTGTTGAACGCCACACTTGGCAGCGCTCCTTCGCAGGTCTGGCGGTCACTTTTGGAGGGCCGTGACATCCTATCTTTGGGTCTTATTAAGAGAATCGGCACCGGAGCAGCCACGAACATTTGGCAGGATAACTGGCTGCCGAGAGATTATAAGATGAGGCCCTTTTGCGCCCGATCAACGAACCCGCCGATGGCATTTTCAGAGCTAATCAATCCAGTCATGAGATTTTGGAACAGGCAAGCCCTAACAAAGCACTTCATACCTGCTGATGTCGACGTTATTCTCAATATACCGTTTAGTACAAGGCAACATGAGGATTTTTGGGCTTGGCATTATGATAAGCGAGGTATCTTCTCGGTACGGTCAGCATACAGGATGATTTGTGCTATCAAAACACAAAGAGAGGATTGGCTAGAACATCGTCCGAGCCATTCTAATATTGCCGCGGACAAAAATTCTTGGTCTCAGCTTTGGAAGGTGAAGGTTCCTTCAAAAATATGAGTTTTTGTATGGCGTTTGGCGCATACTTCAATCCCTACCGGTCTGGTGAGACATGAAAGGCATATGGCAGATTCTCCATCTTGTCCTATCTGTGGAGCGGAGGAGGATACATGGCGCCACTCGCTACTGAGCTGCCGCATGGCGAGATGTGTTTGGGCTTTGGAGGATGATGAGCTGGTCGAGCATGTGATATCAAACCAAACTGAAGATGCGAGTCTTTGGCTGTTCTGGCTGTTCGAGACTACAAGTCAACATGACCTAGCTCGAATCCTAGTGACCATGTGGGCAATTTGGTGGGCCAGGAGGAAGGCCATCCACGAGAATGAATTTCAGAGCTCGCTTTCCACTATGAGCTTCGTTAACAGATTCTTGGAGGAGCTAGACATAGTTAACTCGCTCAAACCAAGGACTAATGAAATACGAGTGAAACGGCCGAGAGCAAAAGTGTGCCTACCCCCCCGGCGAGGCTGCAAAGTTAAACTGTGACGGGGGGCTGTCAACTTTAGGAGACAAAGGAGCAGTGGGAGTTGTGCGTCGTGACAGATTTGGCAAGTTTCTGGGTGCTTCTGCGATGGTTTTTGATGGCCTCACCGACCCGGCAAGTCTAGAGGCACATGCATGCAGCGAAGCACTAGCTCTAGCCCGGGATTTGAATCTTCAGGATCTTGCTACGTCTTGAGCTAGCGTTGGTTTTCCCCGAAGAGGAGAGGGTGATGCAGCAAAGTGTAGCGTAAGTATTTCCCTCAGTTTTGAGAACCAAGGTATCAATCCAGTAGGAGGCTCCTCAAAAGTCCCACGCACCTACACAAACAAACTGAGAACTCGCAACCAACGCAATAAAGGGGTTGTCAATCCCTTCACGGTCACTTACGAAAGTGAGATCTGATAGAGA